TTTAGAAAAGCACTTCATTTTGTATCACCCTCTCTGTTGTACTCTGAGCTGCCAGATTTAAAGTCTTCTTGAGCTAATGTTTAAAATTTGCTCTTCATTAGAGAAAAAAATGATAGTGCTGATCTGACCTACTCCATTTACAGCTGTGTGAAGTCTTTCTGCAAAGCGGGGTGGCATGCTGGGCCTCTCATCAGGTCGCACTGGGGGGTCGGTGGTCACTTGTCTAATGCCCTCTGCCAAATGCTGGCAAAGATGGGTACAAAACAATCTCCCCATTCCTTTCCATCGCCTCAGCAGATACCATGGTAACTAGGCGGAAAGAAAACCGGGTCCTTCTAGCCATTCCACGCATGCCGTAGCATCCTTTGTGAAATGCCCGAGGTCCACGACTGCTGTGTTCTTTAGGGGCTGAGATAACTGAAAGATTTAATGTGGAAAATAGTCCTCCTCCTTCCTTTCATCACCACTTTTTATCTCTCCTTTGTACTCGTTGTCCTTTCAGAGAACATCCCTTCCCAGGAAACTGCATCTGAGGACGAGGCTTTGATAATGCCACAGCTGCTCTGATACAAAAAATCTCGCCCCGACTTACAGTTTCTCCAGCGTCACTGATCGGAAACTACAGCTGAGCCTTCTTCCAATTTACATATCAGCCTGCAGATTCATAGAAACGCCAACAAACAATCAACTTGCCTCAGCCACAGACGCGTTCTACCAATGGTCTGTCTGCACATGGCGTACCGACACCCGCACTTGCAGTTACAAAAGGGTGATTGTTTGGAGCTTGAATTAGATGGACAAGTCTGTGGGTGGTAATGGAAAAGACTAAGATGACTGTCTCTCCAGGGAATCCTGACATCATACTGAAAGCATGTTGTGTTCATCAATGACTTCAAGTAGTCAGTAAATAAAGTCATCCGACTGGATGGCATTTCAAGCTGCCTCGACGTTAAGGATATTAAACAGTGAAAAGCCTTGATTAAATCCAACATATTTAAAAAACAAAAATGCAATTTTGAAGCTAGGCTGTTGATTAGAACAAGTAATGCTAATTTCTATAATCAGCATTCATTATTTGCTCTTTTTATGATTTTTCTTTTACTTTCAGAATGTTATTTACTTTAAAATCCTTAAAGGGAAAGCGTACAGTTTCAAAACTGAGCTGTTTAGCAGGAAGGAAATAAACATCCAACCAGCTTTGAAATTATCTTAACTTTTTTGCTTTGAGTAAAGAAATGTAAAGAAAAAATTTGTATTTTGTCATATTAATGTAAGGGGGCCCAGTCCTCGACATGGCCGTTCAGGTAGTTTATGGAGTAAGTTGTTTGAAAGATAAAAAAAATTATGACTTCTAAATTATCTGAATTAATAAATTAACATTCATTATCTTCATCTAGTTTCTATTCCACCCAGAACATGTCCAGCTTTTTGTTGACGTGTTCATTGACTAAAAACAATGATCAGAGCTCTTATCTTTATCTGAACAGAAAAGCGACATGCTTTGTAGTCATTGAGCATCGAATCACTAATCAGATAAAATTGTTGCTTAGTGCATCTCTATCCTAACCTTCATCTGATTTTTTTTTAAATCAAACCCATGGCAAAGTTCCTAAAAGTTAAATTCAAGACTTTTTAAGACTTTTTAATGCCACTTGAAATTAAAATTTAAGACCAAATTCATAAGAAACACAAGAAAAACCTGCTTGCGACAACTTAACCCAAAGGTTTATTTTAACATAAACCACTGCACTAATGTTTCAAATTTTGAAAAGCTTCCCATACAGGAAGAAAGCTAAAAACACACAAATGACAGATATATTTTAACAATTATTTAACTGAATTCACAAACTTTGTTTTAGCAGGGAACAAAACAAATCGGTTTTAAAGCCACAACATAACCAGTGCTAAGTCTTTTTTGCAGCTATTTTTCTTTGTATCGTTTTCTTAGTATGTTTGATTTGGTGATAAGTGGAGGCGTTGCAGACACAAGGGTGGAACTAAACTGAGAAATATCGGCTGTTTCTCAGTAACTCGATTTTGACGCTTTGTGTTTCGCACTTCGCGAAACTCCACTGCCTTAATTCCCATCGTTCCGAGCTTGAATCGCTTCTTGCACAAAATCCACTGCGCCTCATGTATGTTCCCTGGTTTTAGCCATGGAGAAAACTCTTGACTGGATAGAGAATTTTGGTTACATTTATATTTTCCAGACAAAAAGTTAATGCCACATCTCCCAAATGTCCCGGTCGCAACAATGCTTTTATTGGTTCCACTATCGAGACGGAACCAATAATGGCGAGCTGTTATTTTTTTAAATAAAAAAAAAAAGGTAAATTTTAATGTTTTATTTAGATTACAAAAATAAATCATAATAAAAATAATCCTATTTATGATGTTTTAAAAATTAAGACCTACGAAAGACTAATTTAAGACATTTTAATACCAATTAAGGCCTTAGTTTTATTTTGAAGAATTCAATGCCTTTTAAGACTTTTTAAGGACCTGCAGGAACCCTGTAAAATAACTTTTATTCGCAGAATGAGAACTTTTTTATTTTTATACAGAATAGTGGCCACTCTGCAGGGCTTAATGGTGCATCACTGAAAAAAAAGAGTAAAATTAACAAAAGGCATAAAAGTTCACTAAAGCAGCAAATGCCTTATTAAAAAAATAGAGTCCAAAAAACAATCCAGTAGTTTAACATTTTCTTCACAGGATTGTTGTTTGTCTGTGACTGTTAACGAATGAACTAATCTATATGTGGCTCCAAATGTAAACCAGTGATGTTGCTTCACTCTCTCACAAAGTGGTTTCTTGGCTTCTGTAAACCAAAAGAGTTAGCAAATGCGATTCCATAATTAGACAGTCTGTCTCTTCCTCCCAACCAAGCAGATGCAGCAGCCAATTGCTGGTGTACAAGTGGGGACGCAGCAGTTAGGATAAATTATGCATCTGTAAGTAGACGAAGACCTGCAAGATGGCATGCTGTGGAAATCTCCCACTATAGGTGGGTTTTCATCAATGAATCTCTTTCATTTTCTCCCCCTGCATCTCCCACTTCACATATACAGCCAACACGGCCTCCAATTAGAGTCAAAGCTTTCAAAAGCTGAATATAGCATTTGATGCATAGATTACATCTATATCGTTGATGACAGTTGGATGAAGAGGAGTTAAAAACAGTGATTTGCCTCCATGTGCATTTCATCATTTTGAACAACATAACTACTACTTTTTAATGTCTCCTCTGGTGTTTTACAAATGTCATCCCTGTTCTCTGCCTGAGCCCAGAGTAAGGTAGTAGTGAATATTGATCAGTAAAAGGCTAAAGTAGAAAGGTGCTTTGCAAGGTTTTTTGATGACTAATGTATTCCACTTTATTGCTGATGGATGGAAGTGTTCCTCTCAATGACTTAGAAGCTCCAGTCTCCAGTTCAAATGCAGCTGGCTGGAAATAAACAGTCAGAAAGGACAGGGTCCCTGCTTCCTGCTTATTGTGTGGGGATTTTTCTCATTAGGCTGCTTGAAATCCTTCATTTTCTTCAGCTGTGAATGCACAAAGCATTTTAATTCCGCAGCCCAACAATAAACTCTGCAGCGTGAAGCAGAGGCCTACTGTTGCATTGCCACACTGAGTAAAAATACTGTATATTGGGCTGAATGTGAAAAAAAGGACTGCTAAAATTAAGCCTTCATAGGGACAACGCATGGAAGAAACCAAGAAGGGGTCATCCGACACAGTACATTCTGCATAGCAGGGGAAGGGGTGTTTGTGTATAAATGCATGCATATTCTCAACAGTTTTAGTAATTATATGTTTTGCATAAAAAATAACAGCTAATGTGGACTTTTTTCCAATTACAACAGAAGAGGCATCAACTGTCTGGGATCACTAAATGTATGCTTGCTGAATAAAAGGAATAGTACACCCAAAACATGATTAGCCTTCATTTTCTACTCACCCCCATGCTGAACAACACTCTGGAGTACTTTTTTGATATCTCAAATGCATCTGGAGATCTGGGAGGCTTCTTGCTGTCTGCTGACATTCAAATAATGGAGGTCTATGGTGCCCGAGGCAGAAAGGTCCATAAAAGTCCACAAAAAACCTGTCAATATTCCTCCATACTGCTCGTCCAATGTATTCCAAGTGTCCTGAGTGGGTAGCATCCAGAATTTACTTGAAACGAAGTCATTTAGAATGTTTTTAGAGCATAAACAGTAGTGTATAGGATTTCCTGAAAGCGCGCACATGCGCGTTCACGACGCTACGGAAGCCGGCAGACCAAACCAGCGCATTCAGCTCGGCAAAGAACTCATGCTCTTCCTCAACACTGAAGTCCTCAGACATTTTTCTTTCGTTGTTTCTTTCTTTGCACAGGTAAACAGCACATTTCTTCTTCTACGCTTGCAATATTGGCAGAGCAGACGCTGAATGCGCACTTTCATCTGGTTTGGTCTGCCGGCTTCCGTAGCGTCGTGAACGCGCATGTGCGCGCTTTCAGGAAATCCTATACACTACTGTTTATGCTCTAAAAACATTCTAAATGACTTCGTTTCGAGTAAATTATGGATGCTACCCACTCAGGACACTTGGAATACATTGGACGAGCAGTATGGAGGAATATTGACATGTTTTTTGTGGACTTTTATGGACCTTTCTGTCTCGGGCACCATAGACCTCCATTATTTGAATGTCAGCAGACAGCAAGAAGCCTCCCAGATCTCCAGATGCATTTGAGATATCAAAAAAGTACTCCAGAGTGTTGTTCAGCATGGGGGTGAGTAGAAAATGAAGGCTAATCATGTTTTGGGTGTACTATTCCTTTAATGTGGAGCAAATTCAAGGAGAAAACGTCTCAAATGTGAAGGTGATAAAACTTAGTTTGATGTAAATATGCAGATCTATCATTATTGATATAACAGCACTTTTCATGCATTTTTTGTTAAAAAAAAAAAGAAAAACACATGGTATCCCGACTATTTTCTTAGCGACTGACCTGGTGGAGATCATTTCCCAGTTTGAACTCCTGGAAGTACCCCGGAGCAGCTGAAGTGGCCCGGATGGCCTGCCACAGCTGGTGCTGGCAGCCGCCCAGGTAGTGAGAGCGAACCCCGGGCAGAAGGTTGTAGTTCCTGAAGATGTGTGCTTTCAGAGGAAGGCCCTGGTTCACTATGGTGCTCACAGCTGCCACCTACAGGTGGAGAACATAACAAACACATTTATATAAAAATAAAACTGATAAAAATAGGAAAGATAAAACAAGAGAGGAAAAAAAAAAAGATCTAAAGCTAACCTTGGGGCATTCAGGGTTTCTTGAAGTCTCCACTAAGAGGTGGGAGCCCACTTTCTCCCTGCAAAGGAGAGCAACATCACATTTTATTAATATTTAGTTTAGTTTCATACAGCATTCTCATCTTTTCATTTTTTAGTTTTACGCTTTTTTCCCAGAGTTAAATAAATCAGTGAAATGCAGCTTTCTTTTAAGAGAACGAAGGTATTCAAACCAGTATTTAATTAAAGCAGGCTAATGAAAAAAAGACCTTTTTGGCCACATGAAATAGACCAAAGACCTCATAAAAGAACAATGCTGTGATTAGATTAGATAAGATGAGCTTTATTCATCTCACAGCGGAGAAATTCACTGGTCACATATTGGCATAGTAATTAAAGAAGGTGCAAACAAGGAGGAAAAAGGTGCATTAAGAATAAACAAGCAAGCACTGTATATACAGTATATCAAGATAAATAAGAATTAAATGATCTGCAGCAGTTTGTTATCCATATCTGTCAGACTGGAAAGAGTTTAAGAGAAATAAGCTTCCGGCCTCTAGAAATGGTGAAAGTGGTTACTATAATCACCCAAACTCTGTATCAACAAGTCCTATGAGAAGTCACAGGAGCCGTCAGTCCCTACAGGCTTCACTTTCTACAGTTAAGATCATAAACTCTGCTCTTATAGAAAAACGGCTCTACAGGAAAATATCTGGAGCTCATTCAGGTGAAGCAGGTCAAACCAAAGCACAGCAGCAAGTCCATCTGAATGAAACAATCCATTCACGCTCGAAAAACTCTGAACTGTCACCAAATGAAAATGTTCCATCGGTTGAGGATATAATAATTACCGTAAATTCCTGTCTATAGAACGCACCTGATTACAAGCCGCACGCTCTAATTTTAGAAAGAAATTTTATACTTTTATAAGCCACGCCGCATTTTAAGCCGCAGGTTTCCCACGTTGTATGAGATATTTACAAATAAAGATATTACAAGTAAGCATTTTTTTTTAACGTTTGATTTAATCCGTATAATAAAACAAACAAATACGGTACATATTATGAATGCTTTTTTTTTTTTAAACTACCTGTAACACATTTAAATAGACGTATGTGTCGGTAACACGCAAATAACGCTGCATATACCGGTACTTTTAATTGAACAACGCAAAGAACATTGCAGCCGACCAGGAAAAGTCATTAATCACTTTCTTCTTCCTCCTGCGCACTAAAACCCTCAAGGTCCTCTTCCTCGGTGTCTGAATGGAACAGCTTCAGGATGCCGTCACTGAATTCAGTCTCATCCTTGTCGCTGAAAAAAAAACATGTATTAGCCGCACTGTATTATAGGCCGCAGTGTTCAAACAGCGGGAAAAAAGTAGCGGCTTATAGTCCGGAATTTACGGTACTAATAAATCAACTAAACTGTGTTTAAGACAAAGTATTAAGCACTTACTAATGCAATTACTAAGCACAGCTTTAATTTCCTCTGAAAATGGTGGCATTGATGCGCTAGTGGTTGTAGCTTCTCTTTCGTTTTGAAACAATCCTGATCTGTTAAAGAAGGGAAACCTTCATGGATAGAATATGTTTATTGTTGCTCTTTTTGGCATGTCCATGATTTAACATCAACTCACAGCAGCCAAATATACTATAACACAATGTTAGTGTTACCTTACCAGAACTTCAGCATTCCACATGCTAAAAGACGTCCAAAAAGGGATTACTATTATTATTATTAATTATTCAAGTTTACTCTATAGGGACAGACACATATCGACATAGACAAACTGAACAAAACAGCAGTCCCATGTTTGCATCATAGTACAATAGCAACAGCTAATTTGCAGCACTTGTCTCTAGATGGGCCACATTATCCACTTTACCTGTCAGTGTCCATAATGCTGTTGCTAAAAAAATATTAACTAATGTGGATTAATTTTATTATAAAGATCAAGACTTGTTTGTTGCTCCTTTTGAGCCCCACAAATTGTGAACCATTGCATTAGAGAAGAGATTGAAATGCATTAAATGGTACAGTATTCTTGCACCATTCCTTTGAAATTAGTCTGAGAATACAGGCTGGAAATGCCTCCAAAAGTTTCCCATGCTCAAAGAAAATCTTTGAAAAACTTCTTAAAGCCTGGAGAATTTCTTCTCGAGACCCCTTTGAAATATTTTGGCTCCTTGAGTGTGAAATATAAGGGATAGTAGAGACCTGGAGCATTTTGTACAGCGTTGCATTTTTTTCTCCACATTTTGAAAGATATCTAGTGTAATTTTTCTTACATTAAAGATGAGATTTTTTGGGGCTCAGTCTTAAGAATAGTTTCTATATATTTTTATTAGCTTAAACACTAAGAGAAAGTAGTATCTTACTATATTATTATATGTTTGTTGTCATTCTAAAATAACACATCGTTCACTGGTAGTGAATAGAAAAAAAGTGCCATTTAAACCACATAGTCTTAAAGGTAAATTGGAGGATGTTCTTTTTCCAGGTGGATCATCAAAATAAGTGGTCATCCTAATTGTCAGGCATTCTGGTTATATGTTAACGTAAGGGGATCCTACGTGCTCGTCCCATTTTCACTTACCGGTGGTGAGTCTGACATAGTGGAAAAATTAAAAATCTTTAGGAAAAAGTAAGCATGCATGAGCGATGGAAACAACAACTTTTAAACAGAGCGTGCACGAGTAGAAATGGGCTCGTGCACGCTCTCACACGTGTTTAACAGGCGTTCCCTCTCGGGAGCAGGTACAGGTTGTGTGTGTGAATTTTTTTTTTAAAGAGAAGAAGGCGGGTCTTTTCAAAAATTCACGAAAATCCTCCCTTATACCTTTAAAAATAATAACTTATTCATGAACAAAACATTCAAACTGACTTGAGGATGTTCTCCCAGGCTTCGCTGTCGTAGAAAGCATGGCTCCAGCCCATCTTCACCGTCCCTAAAATCACGTTCTGCTTGAAAACGTCTGAACCCAGCTTCCGGTACAGATCATCACAGTCTTTCACAGGGATTTGGATCACGCCCAGCATGAACCCTATGACAGCTCCTGAAATATGAACAAAAAAAGCACATCAAAAATAAAGAAAAAGATTAAAATAAGCTGGTGGAGTAGGTATAAAATGAAAATGCCTGTGTTGGCAGGAGGGGGGGGACAATCATAAACAAATAAAAAAGTATAATGTTATTAAGTTTTTGCTCTCTCCACTTCTAAAGGATCGCTTACACTCATAAAAAGCCACCACAGTGCTGAGAGCAGAGATTAGACCTAATGGAAAAGTGCAGGGAGTCCAGCTGAGCGGATGCGGTTGAGATGAGCTCTAAATGTGTGAGCACAGTTTCATCTGGCACACAGCTTGCATTATTATTTGACAACAAACATTAAATCTGAAAATACTCCTCCCAACTGTCGGAGATTAAGCCTGAGTGAACCTTAAAAAAAAATGACAAAATGATTGTTTTTAATCTGCTGTTATGTAAAAATCAGCAAACCAGGAGAGTAATCTTAAAGTGGTCCACAGCACCATCTAGTGGCACTCTCACTTATAACAGGGTGGTAAAACCAGCTAAAAGGGCTGGTCACCTAAAGTCATAACTAAAGCAACATATAAACATGATAGGGTTTAATTATCTTTGTACCACGGTTCATTAACAAAACTTTGGAAGAGGATTAGGGCCACTGGAAAAAAAAAAAAAGTTAACTGATTTTTAAATTTTATTTCAATTTAGTATGGGAAAAAAAGTCAGAATTCTGACTTTTTTTCTCAGAATTCTGACTTTTTTTCTCAGAATTTTGGATTTTAATGTAGATGGGCACCATGAAGGAAGAGATGTGGAGCACTCAGCTTCACTGACAAAGATGTGAGTAGTTTGAGGTGGCCACTGACACATTGGTGGAAAATGAAGGAATTAGGCAACTTCTTACGTGCCTGAGGAGTCCCCTCATTAATGGAGGAGCAGAAGGTCATTAAAACAACAGAGCTAGTCTCTAAAACAGACATTGCTATGGCTTGATGCTAACATGTTTGTTAGCTGTCAGAATTCTGAGATTAAAGTCAGAATTCTGAGATTAAAGTCAGAATTTTGAGATTAAAGTCGGAATTTTGAGATTAAAGTCAGAATTCTGAGATTAAAGTCAGAATTCTGAGATTAAAGTCAGAATTTTGAGATTAAAGTCAGAATTCTGAGCTTAAAGTCAGAATTGAGATTAAAGTCAGAATTCTGAGAAAAAAAGTCAGAATTCTGAGAAAAAAAGTCAGAATTCTGAGAAAAAAGTCAGAATTCTGAGATTAAAGTCAGAATTTTGAGATTAAAGTCAGAATTTTGAGATTAAAGTCAGAATTCTGAGAAAAAAGTCAGAATTCTTTCTCTGCTTCTGTCTCCTTGAACCCCAGTGGGCCTCAGCAGATGGCCGCTCACACTGAGCCTGGTTCTGCTGGAGGTTTCCTCCTGTTCAAAGGGAGGTTTTCCTCTCCACTGTCGCTACAAGCATGCTTAGAGTGAGGGATTGTATTTGAGTCAATGAGTCAATGCAATCAACTGGTTTTCCTTAGATAGAAAACTTTGTATCAATTTGACTGTATGATCTGGTTGAACTGTAAAGTGCCTTGAGATGATGTGTGTCGTGAATTTGGCGCTATATAAATAAACTGAATTGAATTGAACTGAATTGAATTCTGAGATTAAAGTCAGAATTTTGAGATTAAAGTCAGAATTCTGAGAAAAAAGTCAGACTTCTGAGATTAAAGTCAATCTTTAAAATCAGTTAACTTTTTTTTTTTTTTCCAGTGGCCCTAATCCTCTTCCGTACAAAACAGTATTGAAGTTAGGCTAAAATTAATCATTTTGCTAAAGGATTTCACTGTTTTCACTGCTTTTTTAAGCAAATGTTTTTTTTAATGATACACCAATGGGGGAAAAGATGTTATAATGATTTGTTTGACATTTGTTGTAATCTAAACAGAATCCAGCTGAAGAACCACATGACCAGTTTGTTCCCCTGATCCTAAACAAACAACAAAATCTGTGAAGTGGACTTTTTTTATTGCCTTTCGTTGGATGTTTGTTTAGTAAGTAAAAGAAAAAAAAAAAGAATCATTGAGCTGGATAAGGATAAATTGGTTATAAACATACATAAAAAGAAAAGTTTTATTTCAGAATTTCATATTTTTATTCCTCGTAATGAAATTATTTACAAGAAATCATGTCTGGAAGCTAAAAAAAAAATGTAACTGAAAATATTAAAAATAACTTGCAATTTTCTTCCATCAAAATGTAAATAAAAACAGAAATAATCTTCCTTCATCGTTTTACATTCCCTTTTATTGTAAACAAAACTTTTGGTTAAATGAAAATAATTTAAAATAAAGAATTTTGGCTTAATTGTAGAATGTAGCCGCTTTACACGCCTAATTTCTGTAAAGAATAAAGTCGATATTTCTATTATAGCCTATTGAATGAACACAAGTATAAAGTCTCAACAATGATGTCAAGGAAATTTAGGTCAAAACTAAAGTGGAGCCAAAAATGGGTCACTAAGAGATCTCTGCTGCCAGTTCAGCCAGAACCCTTCTTAGTGTTTCATAATCGACCTACAGGCTTCAGTCTGCACACAGAGAAGTAGGACAGGAGGACAACATACCTGTGCTGACGCCACAAATATAGTCGAACAGCTTGTAAATGGGTTTGCCAGTCAGGGCTTCCAGCTTCTCTAAGGTCTGAAGGGCAAGAACTCCCCTGAGGGAATAATATCCAACATAGACGCCTGGTTAATACATATGGAGAGAAACAGCAGCAGCAGGTCTATTCAAACAGAAAGCATTGACTGAACATTCATGCCTGACTTCTGACATAGTCCAAAATCTAATTCGGATCTATTTTAAAAAAAGATATTTCATGCAAAATACATATTTGTCAGCAAAAAAAGAAGAAAAAGCTTTAAATCTGTACCGTAAACCTCCTCCGTCTATGGACAAGATTCGTATCCCCCGGCCTTTGACAGGTTTATGATATCCAACCAAGGCGAGAGCCTCTCTGACTGCAGCCCTTAAGCCGGGATCGTTGGCCTGCTCCAAACGCAGCAGACGAGGGATGACCTTCTCCTGACAAACATGGAAATATAAACCAGCGGTCAGCAGTGGGAAATAAAGATGCTATTGATCTAATATAGAGAAGTATCGACAGAAACGGACCATTTATTTAAAAAAAAAACAGAGCTGCTTAGAGAACTGGAACAGATGAAGTGTAAGAGAGGTATTAAACATATTGCTTTCTTTTTTTAGAGGGAAAAAAACATTTCTAATATTCTTTCATAACACTTGAAAACCACTATTATAGTATATGTTTAATCTAAACGCTGCTGGATCAAACCAGGACTCAGAAGTACGAAATACCATTTCTAAAGCCCAAAAAAAGACTGACAGTCAGAACGGCCCTGTTTTAAATACATTTATGGTCATAACAGTTTTTTACTGATTACAATGTCCAAATGGACGCGAGTACTGATATGCATGTTCCCCATAGATCAGCCAACCAGAAAGGGAAAGCATCTAGCAGTGTATAAAGACTGAGGTGTCGGTAAAAAAAGAAAAAAGATTTTGAATAAATTCACTGGACACTGAATTAATTACTGCTGTTTAATTGCTCGCAAACACGAATAGCAGCAAATCAATGCATTTAGAAGTAAAAACAACTCGCTGCAGGTCAGACCGAGCATCAGAACGATGCTAAACTATCTGGATTTTCACAGTGATGGCTTAAGTTTGCAGAGAACCATCCAAAAGTGAGAATACATTTCATAATTGCAGGTAAGTTATTAAAAAAAATACTTGTTTATGTTGGAGATGAAAGGGAAATTCAGCAGGTAGGTAAAAAAACAAACAATAGAAAGACAGGAAAAAGATTGGGGAAGATGAGCAACATGAAGAAACGAAGCCTACAGATTCCTGGTCTGTAAACTTGGAAGGACACAGATGTTAAAAAAAAAAAAGGTACCAAAGATGGAAAATATAGAATTCACCTGGGATTTTCAGGTGGCAGAGAAAGAATTATGTGTTCCACGGTCAAAAAATCTAAGTAGGAAATGTTTATGTGACGCTGCTGAAGCTATGAAATGAAGAATTTATTCACTTCAGAAAGCCTAAGAAGGTCCAACCCTTTACACTGGCAACGTTTACATAAAAATGCACAAGTAAATCACAGGTCAAAAATGATTAAGCAAACCTAAAACAGCAATGAACTTGGTTTCACTTACTGCAGTCTGGTATAGGTCAAGTTTTCAGCAAAAAGTGCTGAAATAAATCTAAACAGTTGAAACTCTTTATATAGTGATCACGTTGGTCCAGAGCCAATTTGTACACTAGCGGTTGATTACTATATCCGAATTTACCATTATTTTACTTATTTTTTTATGCAGAATATCAACTAAATGCCATTTGAAAAAAAATAAATGAAACGGATAGCTTCCGCATTTACTTAATTTTATTACAGTACCATGCAAGTTTAATTACAGTATACTGCGCTGTGCGCAGACATAACTCTGGTAGCCTGGTGCCGCCGGTGCATTTTTTCTGAAGTTTGAAACAAATATGGAAGTAAATTTGTGTTTCTGGGATTTGAATCAAAAATGCCACTGAAATTTAAATGTTGTATGTTTGTACTTACTGTTTCAGTGCTAAAATATATTCAGAACACATTTTTGACCTAAAAAAAATTCATTGTTATCATTTCTACACAGTTGAAATTTCATTTATTTTCTCTTCAAGCTAAAAATTCACATTACTATTTCAAAGTGATTACATTTTCAATACTTGTTTTTCAGTTTAAATTTTCAGTGTTAAAAAAATCTGCATATAAAAAAATTCAACCTTTCAAATTTCAAACTCAATATTTTCAGCCTCCTGAGATTCAACTGGCTCTATTTCACTGTCTTAAATTTGGCGTCTAAATTCAGTGTAAAAAGGGAAGGGGTTACTTCAGGTCAAAGACATTAGCAATGGATTGTGGCGTCCAACACCCAGCCAATCCCGTTACGTTTTCTTAGTCACGTGACGTGACGCTTGTGGCGCTCTGGAAGGAAAACTAGCTTGACGGAGCCGGTCAAGCTAGCGCTAACTCAACTACAGAAAAATGAAAGTAATAAACTCACCGTTGAGTTAGAGTTAGCCTGCATGACCGGCTCCGTCATGCTGGTTTTCCTTACGTATAAGCGCCACAAGCGTCACGTCACGTGACTAAGAAAACGTAACGGGATTGGCTGGGTGTTGGACACCACAATCCATTGCTAATGTCTGTGACCTGAAGTAACCCTTCCCTTTTTACGCTGAATTTAGACGCCGAATTTAAGACAGTGAAATAGAGCCAGTTGAATCTCAGGAGACTGAAAATATTTGAATTTTGAAAGGTTGAAATTTTTTATATGCACATTTTTTAGCTTGAAGAGAAAATAACAAATGAAATTTCAACTGTGTAGAAATAATGACAATGAACTTCTTTTTAGGTAAAAAATGTGTTCTGAATATATTTTAACACTGAAACAGTAAGTACAAACATACAACATTTAAATTTCAGTGGAATTTTTAATTCAAATCCCAGCGACACAGAGTTACTTCCATAAAAAAACTGTTTCAACATAGAACCTAACTGCATAGGCTACAGAAAATTTAAAGCTAGCCTACATCTGTTTTGTGTTGCGGATCTGCTGCTCTGCATTAAGAAATCACTTAACATATTTATCCATGGTTCCCTGGATCAGTGTGTTGTCCAACACCAATTTCACTTCTTTTTCAACATGATGTAAAAGGTCAAAGTTTTTGAAACCAACATGTAGGAGACCAGTCTTTAAAATGCAAACTGCATTTCTTCTCTCAGCTCTAGAAGAGACAACAGTCTCCACTTCTTCATCCTCATCCTCCTCCCCCTCCTCGCTGCGCACAGCACTGGTACCCGCACCAAAGGGCTCTTGTACCTCTGTGATGATGTCTTCATCCATCACGGGCTCTGACACAGGAGCGCTGTCATCACTTTCGATCCATTTATTAATTATTTTTGCACGTTTATATTCATAAAATGGCCAAAAATGAACGCCATAAGCGGATTCCTTTATTACTATAAGCAAATTATTTAAACAGCATATGTATAGAAAAGATTCGGTCTCAAGCCTTTTGAAAACTATAAGTGGTTGATTACTATATCCGTAACCACTATAAGCTGATTCCACTGTATAACCCTGCGTAAATTAGTAATTCGGATCATAGCAACCACAAAACAGGCTTAAACTGGACGGAAGCTGACTTTTCCCTTCATCTAAAAACATTTTAAAGAAATCTGGGAGTCTTCCTTGTTGAGCAACATCCTATTAGATGGCTTCCAGGTCAGATGCAAATCAGTGACCCACCTCTCATTCTCCTGGTTGCTGGGGCCTGTTGTTTTGTATTTGGTCATCTGAATCACAATGAGACTGCTTATGTAATTACTTTGGAAAGAGTTTCAAGACAGGGTTATATATAACTGAGAATAGAAACCGGTATCATTCCCCCTCAGTTTAGTGTCGGCTTTTCTTCACCCTTTTTTCAAACTATCTGTTTTCTGTCTAGATCCGAACATGTTGGTGACGTGCCATTCATTCTTCAGGTGCAGGTTTACCACTAAACTTTCCTCAGAGCTGTTGGCACTCCTGTGCTGCTCCATGGGTTTAACAGGAAGTTCTTAGCTTCCTCCAACATGCAGTCCTTTATGCAGTGGACCGCCATCTTGACACATAGGAAATGAATTAGATGCTCCTCATGAACCACTTGGATTAGAAGCAAAAGCTTAGTGTCTCTAAAGGTAACACTTATTTCTCTAAACTGATCAGTCTAAAGCAGGGGTCTTCAACGTTTTCTAGGCCAAGGACCCCCAAACTGATGACAAGATGGAGCGGGGACCCCCTAATTATATATATTGTATGAAATTGTGTTATATCAAACTGGTCCTATAGTCACTCTATTACAGATGGAGTAATGTAAGGACAGTAATTTCTCCCTGGGATTATTAAAGTGTTTCTGATTCTGATTCCTGGTTGATGGGACAGGTGTTGTGAATGAAACGGTGCCCAGCTTGAAAGAGCTCCTGTGTGTCGCTGAATGCGTGCATTGATGACTGAAAGACATCTTCTGCCTCCATTTATCTGTTAACTACAGTATGTTGAATTCATGTTAATGTGGATTTAAAGACATTTCAATTCAGGAGGGAATATAAAAAAAAAAAAAAAAAATGAATTAACCAAAAGTTTCCCGACCCCCATGCAGTACCTCCGCAGACCCCCTGTTGAAGACCTCTGGTCTAAAGGGCTGGTTATACTTCCACAGCAGTGTGCTGCAGTGAGCTTGTCGCAGGTATGACACAGACATTATTGATTTGGGCTCAATATTGAAGCATGGTCTGCGTTTATTTCACGCCACAACGCAAGAGAGCTGTGGGTCTAGATACGGCCGAGGCGGTGAGGAAATGGGGGCAAGTTTGTCTGACTACGGGGGACATGAGGGCGAAAAAGAGCCGGGATCCAGGTGGAAAAAGGGTCCCAGCGTTCTCGTACATCTCGCTCTTCTAGCTGGTTCAACTTCACAAGCTTTTTTCCACAATCGCGCTCATACAAACAAAACAAGCCGGCAAGGTACCAAACAGGAGACGCATAGTGTAGAGCGGATGTTGATCATCTCGCTCTTCTAGCTGGTCCAACTTCACGATTTGTTTCCACGATGGCAGTAATACAAATGAAACAAGCCTTTAAGGTACCAAACAAGAAATACGCCTAGTGTAGAGCAGTTGTAGATTTTACCAATCAGATGCCTCCTGTCTGGAGCCACCTACAATTTGAGAGAGGTGCCTACGCAGATGACCGAGTTTCGAAATATAAATCAGCCTTAAGTTCTTGTTGTAGTAAACACCTTTTAAGTTAACAAGGGTGGAACTGCGACGCTTAGAAGACGTAAGCATGTTCCATGAGAACAACGTTGTCCTCATGACAGTTTTAGGTGTTATCTCTGGATTGAGCAGCTAAAAAACACATGATGGCAGCAGGTATCAACAACCACCATTAACCCAGGTGTCATTTAGCATCAGACAAAGGTGGAAACTGATCTAAAAACAACTTGAAATAAAAATGACATTCCTCAAAGAGACATTATGAAAGTTTCTATGGAAAAATATCTTTAAAACTGCCTTTTTAAGACTAAAATATGTTTGATAAGCAGAGTGACAGCTCAGTAGTTCAGCGCCTATAAGCCTGGAGCCTATTTTCCTTCATTTACTTTGTGTTGGAAGTTTGCGCACCTTTCGAGGAACGTGGCGGGAAACGCGTCTATGTTAATAGTTCCGAGATAGCAAACAATCAAAACATTGTATTCAAGATGAATATTGTGGATATTCAGAAGCAGCCGACTTTCAGCTCAGCTCATATAATAACTACACGTAGGATGGAAAAAAATTTAAAAAATAAAAAATTGTCAAGTCTGAGCACGAGTTACAAGAACCAGCAGAAGATTGCTGCACTTCTGTGTTTTGAACACAGGTGGCAGTATCAGTAGAAGAATCCTTTATAGAGCTTTAATCTATTTCATATTTATCATATAAATTAAAGATAAATATATGAATCATGAACTAAAATCTGTGTTAAAAAAAAAATGGGTGAGGGGGCTTTTCCCCCCATTCTTTCCTGGATGAAGTGAATTTCATTTCATCCATTTTTACGTCACGCTTAACCCAGCTGGGGTCGCGAAGGATGCTGGTGCCTTATCCAGCTGTCAATGGGTGAGAGGCGGGGTTCACCCCGGACAGATCGCCAGTCTATCACAGGGCAACACAGAGACAAACAGGACAAACAACCAGGACACACACTCACATCTAAGGAGAAGTTAGACAAGTCAATTAAAAGTCATGTTTTTGGACTTTGGGAGGCAGCCGGAGTACCCGAAGAGAACCCACACATGCACAGGGAGATTATGCAAACTCCATGCAGAAAGGTGGACTAAAACCCAGGACTTTCCTGCTACAAGGCAACAGTACTACCTGCCCTGAATTTCATTTAATTCACAAAAATACAACTGACTGTAATTTAAAGTTCTGAATTTGTTGACTGAGCCTAAAAGCAGTTGAAGATCTCCTAGAGCATTGACAGGAAGCAACAAGGAGAGAAAAAGAGGGAAAAAAGGAAAGTCTGTCATCTCACAGATTCTCACCTTGACTGCAACACCACGGGTCTCTGGAAACTCCAGCAGGTGGTAACTTAAGTCCTCCACCCTGCTGATGTAGACCCTGACATCTGACGCTCGGTGGAGAGCCTGGACCAGAGCACGGGTTCGGTTGTCCACACTCACCCTGGCAATGATCTGGGAAAAATTGTATCTGTTATTTTGTTTCTTTTCAAACTACTGTACAATTTTCTTTGTAAAAAAAAAAATCTAAAAAGCTGTTCAGCCCATCAAAAATATAGGTAAGAATTATATAGATGCCTAATAAAATCATTTTTGGTTTAGAAAATATAAACCCAATGTTGAACACAAAGTTGGTGAAACCAAATTATTTCATTTTTCTTATTCAACAAGCTGGACAGAAACATTTAGTTCAAATCATAACAGATTAAGGAATCGAGTACATTAGTCTTACTTTTATTAAAAGTAATATAATAATTATAACTTATGAACTTCTATAAAGGCAAGCATATGCATCACATAAATTCAGATTAAAATTAGGCCTCTTATGATTTAAATTAAATATTTGTTTTAAATTTTTACAGTTTGATGAAACCTTTTTTTCTTGTTTTCAATAAAAAAACACCTAAACCAGGGATCTGCAACCTTTAAAATCCAAAGAGCCATTATGACCTGAATGCACCTGAAAATAGAGTCTATAATATCTACTATTAACAAAAAATAGTTAAATATTTTATTAAATATCTAAATATCAACCCTCCAGACCACTCAGGTCCTCTGGCTCCAGCCTGCTCTGCATACCTAGAACCAGAACTAAACATGGAGAAGCAGCATTTAGTTCCTATGCTCCACTTATCTGGAGCAAACTTTCAGAAAACAGTAAAAGTGCGGAAAGCCTGAGTTCCTTTAAATCAAGACTAAAAACACATTTGTTTAGGATTGCCTTCGACTGATCTAGTTCAACAGTTCAACTGAAACATATTTTCTTTAGTCCAACTGTTTTTAAAGGAATAGTACACCCAAAACATGATTAGCCTTCATTTTCTACTCACCCCCATGCTGAGCAACACTCTGGAGTACTTTTTTGATATCTCAAATGCATCTGGAGATCTGGGAGGCTTCTTGCTGTCTGCTGACATTCAAATAATGGAGGTCTATGGCGCCCGAGGCAGAAAGGTCCATAAAAGTCCACAAAAAACGTGTCAATATTCCTCCATACTGCTCGTCCAATGTATTCCAAGTGTCCTGAGTGGGTAGCATCCATAATTTACTCGAAACGAAGTCATTTAGAATGTTTTTAGAGCATAAACAGTAGTGTATAGGACTTCCTGAAAGCGCGCGCCTGCGAGTTCACAAGTCTACGGAAACCGCGGCAGACCAAACCAGATGAAAGTGCGCATTCAGCGTCTGCTCTGCCGATAATGCAAGCGTAGAAGAAGAAATGTGCTGTTTACCTGTGCAAAGAAAGAAACAACGAAAGAAAAATGTCTGAGGATTCAGTGTTGAGGAAGAGCATGAGTTCTTTGCCGAGCTGAATGCGCACTTTCATCTGGTTTGGTCTGCCGCGGTTTCCGTAGCGCCGTGAACGCGCTTTCAGGAAATCCTATACACTACTGTTTATGCTCTAAAAACATTCTAAATGACTTCGTTTCGAGTAAATTATGGACGCTACCCACTCAGGACACTTGGAATACATTGGACGAGCAGTATGGAGGAATATTGACACGTTTTTTGTGGACTTTTATGGACCTTTCTGCCTCGGGCGCCATAGACCTCCATTATTTGAATGTCAGCAGACAGCAAGAAGCCTCCCAGATCTCCAGATGCATTTGAGATATCAAAAAAGTACTCCAGAGTGTTGTTCAGCATGGGGGTGAGTAGAAAATGAAGGCTAATCATGTTTTGGGTGTACTATTCCTTTAATATTTTTTTTTTTTGTTTCTCCATTTTTTATTTTATTTAAATGTTTTCCTACTTGCTTTGATTCTGTTTTATCTTCCTGTATTTTAATCATGTAAAGCACTTTGCATTGTCTTTGTACTGAATTGTGCTATACAAATAAATTTGCCTTGCCTTGCCTTACTGCAGGGAATGCGTAACTGGAAACACCTAGAACTTTATTTAAGCAGAATAAAGAACAGAATACAAATTTTTACATTAAGAGGAAACACGGATTTTCTGGATATTTATCTGTGGGAAATTATGCAAAACAAAGCACATAGATTCCAAGCTAATAATAATAACAAAAAACTACTTTAAACATATTATTTGTTCTTTTTAATGTCATTTTGTTATGAAAATTTAGTTTAAATGTACTTTAAAAAAACAGCTAAAGCTCCTAAAACTGGCATATGTTATTTTACAGTCATTAAAACCAATAATTGGTTCTTTATTATCTGTAGGACATTCAAAGAGCAACCTGGAGCCTCATCTTACCGCCCCCTGATCTAAACTGATATAGAAAATATTGTGCTGTTTCTACTTACTCCTAACTCTGAGATGTGTTCACATCTAACACATGTATGACACATAGGGTATCTGGGTGGTGTTATTTTTGAAAACAGATTCTCAGAACTTAGACAGGATGTGCCCAGCAGTATTATACAACCAACTGTCATGCAATGGCATCATATTGCAGTCAGCTGCAGGTGAACATCAAACCTTACATGGAGAGAAGCTGATGTTTTGATTCCAAACCTTGTTTAACATAAACTAGAAATATGCACCTTAATCCTTATTGCACCTTAATCCTTATTTATCTTGATATACTGTATATACCTGGATATACTGTATATATATATATTGTTTATTCTTCTTAAAGGAATAGTACACCCAAAACATGATTAGCCTTCATTTTCTACTCACCCCCATGCTGAACAACACTCTGGAGTACTTTTTTGATATCTCAAATGCATCTGGAGATCTGGGAGGCTTCTTGCTGTCTGCTGACATTCAAATAATGGAGGTCTATGGCGCCCGAGGCAGAAAGGTCCATAAAAGTCCACAAAAAAACGTGTCAATATTCCTCCATACTGCTCGTCCAATGTATTCCAAGTGTCCTGAGTGGGTAGCATCCAGAATTTACTCGAAACGAAGTCATTTAGAATGTTTTTAGAGCATAAACAGTAGTGTATAGGATTTCCTGAAAGCGCGCACGTGCGCGCTCATGACGCTACGGAAGCCGGCAGACCAAACCAGCGCATTCAGCTCGGCAAAGAACTCATGCTCTTCCTCAACGCTGAAGTCCTCAGACATTTTTCTTTCGTTGTTTCTTTCTTTGCACAGGTAAACAGCACATTTCTTCTTCTACGCTTGCATTATTGGCAGAGCAGACGCTGAATGTGCACTTTCATCTGGTTTGGTCTGCCAGCTTCCGTAGCGTCATGAACGCGCCAACGCGTGCTTTCAGGAAATCCTATACACTACTGTTTATGCTCTAAAAACATTCTAAATGACTTCGTTTCGAGTAAATTCTAGATGCTACCCACTCAGGACACTTGGAATACATTGGACGAGCAGTATGGAGGAATATTGACACGTTTTTTTGTGGACTTTTATGGACCTTTCTGTCTCGGGCACCATAGACCTCCATTATTTGAATGTCAGCAGACAGCAAGAAGCCTCCCAGATCTCCAGATGCATTTGAGATATCAAAAAAGTACTCCAGAGTGTTGTTCAGCATGGGGGTGAGTAGAAAATGAAGGCTAATCATGTTTTGGGTGTACTATTCCTTTAATGCACCTTTTTCCTCCTTGTTTGCACCTTCTTTAACTACTATGCCAATATGTGACGAGTGAATTTCTCCACTGTGAGATCAATAAAGCTCATCTAATCTAATCTAAATAGTTTTCCTATACAGTAGTTTTTCTTTCTGTGTTTCCTGCTTAGCAACAGGTAATAATATATACCTGTGCAGTTGCTAACCTACCTTCTCTCGTTGAAGCAGGAGTTTCTTGGCTTTCTCCTCTGCAGCACTCTGCTCTTTCCTTTTGGGCCCTTCCACCTGTTTTACCATCACACCATCAGGTTTCTTCTCCTCCTCCATCATGGAGCTTTTAGATTCTCCTCCTCTGAATTTAGGAACAAGAGGAGCAATGTAGTTCCCGACAAGAGCGGAATATGACAAGTACTGTCCCAAACTCTTCTTGGAGGGTGGGGTGACTGAGGCGGAGGGTTCATCTTTCTGAGACACAGGTACGAGGTCGGTTGGTCGCTGAGGAGGGTTGTTGTCGACGCCATCGTCTTTCTTGTCCTGAGTCTTTGCGAAGCTGCCAAAGTAAGAGTTGATGTGATGAGACAGGTAGCTGTAGGTCTCGTCCAGGTTGGCTGAAAGGGTACTGGGATGGAATAGCCCTGGAGATTCTTTGGAAGTTGTGGTTTTGTTCCCAATGTTATTCGGAGGTGCTGGGAGCTCCTCCGGCTTCTTAGTAGAACTAGGTCTGACGGCGGGGGAAATACGTTTCAGCTTTTTATTGGGAACAGGGGCGAGGGCAGGAGTGACGGCCAACTGAGCAGAAGCAGCGAGAGGAGTGGGGGTAGGGGTCTTTGTGGATGCAGTGGGAGAATGAGTGGGGGTGATTGTCTTTTCCTCAGCAGATTCAACACTGACCTGGGATTGTTTCTGTGCCTTTGGTTTGAGGCGAGAGATTTTGGACAGGAGTTCTGTTTGTGTCCCACTCACAGCTTTAGAAACTGTGTCCAAGGTACTCCTGACTCGAGACATTTGCTGTCCCAGACCTGCAGACCACCTGGACGTTGAAGTATTCAAACATGGAGAGCTGGTATGAAGCCCCAGCCTCTGCCTAACCTGGATTGCTTTGAAAAGCCAGCCCCTCCTGCCCTTAAGCTTCAGATGATGGAAGTGCCTCAAGCTGAGGTAGCCAGTAGGATGTTGGCCATTGATCCTACAGTGAAAGGATCCAAACCAGAGCAGAAACCCCGCAGACCTCCGACAATGAGTCTGGCACATTAAAGATGCTCTGTCTATTCTCACCAAGATATTTGGAGCCCATCTATGGTTCATGTTGTGTCAGAGGATGAAGATGGACACCATCTGCAGGTTCTGTCATTTACCTGTTAATTAATACAGGAAAACAGCGCTTTAAGTTTTACATAATAAAAACAAAAGGAACGAAAATAATAATAGGATTTAACAGAAAACAGTGTTAAAGCATTAGTTTCATCAGTAAAAATATATCCAAGCTAAAGCGGTGAACAGTTGGACATCAGTGACTAGCTTAGCGCAGCTTGCTAGTTCCATTAAGGCCTTTTAGGCATAAAAACTCCTACCTGCCTTCTTATGTTGTCGTCTCAGTTTGGTAAAACATCCCAAAATAATGTCATTATGTCGGCCTATTTCGATTGGAGTCAACACTAAACTATAAACACCTCCCCCGGAGACGATATAGCTCCGGATAACTTCCAGAATGACGACAGGCTGACTGTCTAAAGAAAAACAACACCCACGTGGGGCTCTATCCGCTTCCCTATTGGCTGGCTAAACTTGGCCCATAAATCGAATGCGCTGATTGGTTGAGAAAATTCTCTTTAATATATAGCTTTTGAGAGGCGGCTGAGTGGAGGAAGCGATTTAAACCTTACAACTAAATGTAAATTCAGTGATTAATCCCAGAGAATATTATTCATCATGTTCTAGTAACTCATCATAATAAAAATATATACACAGCTATTTATTTAGTAACGAACGTTTGGGATTTTATATGTAACAAATTGAGTTATGGTTACTATTTAAGTTTAATTGATAACTTTTCACACATTCTTACAACATACTGAGGCAAGTAGCTTTGCATCTGAAAAAAACTATTTCAAAGAAAATACTAACTACTAAACCCTAAAACTGATAAAGGATGTATAAGCAGGATTCTGGGAAAGAAATTTACCTTGGAGGAAACATTAGAAACTACAAAACTTTATTGCATACTCATGTAAAAAAAAAAAAAAAAAAAATTCACTGAACAAAACGATGCTATCCATGCATGTGTTAACAATGACATTTATAAATAATTATGTGAAGTACTGTGCAAAATTAGTAAACAAAAGCTCCGGTCTTCATGAATTCATCACCTATTGTCCCTTTAATCCAATCATCTTCAGTTTATTACTGCTTCTTTCAGCCTAATGAAACTTTGCTTTCTCACACAGTCCACACGTCTTTACTATTACTGTTCCAGATGATTTGTGTGAAAAGAAATGTTCTAACTTGTTGTTGTCTTATTTTAAACGTGTCTATTTGGTATTGTATAAATAATAATGTTCATATATTTTTGTTTAATTTTTTTTTAAATAACAACAATAATAATTGTTGGTGCACTATTTAATTTGCGTTGAAATTCTTGTCATGACTCTTTAAAATGTTTCAAAATTAACGAGTCAAATAGAATCAAGAAAAAATTATATAATCTATGTATAAAAAATAATATAATCTCTGTACTTAAAAAATAATAACATTATAATAAAGAATAATATTATTAGGACTTATAGCTAACTGCTGAAATATGAAAATATTATTATTTTTGCTCAAATTACATGTTATTATTTCAATATGCCAAGCATTTGTATAAAATAGATTTTATTTTCCTTGAGTTCAGTGTGTGATTTTTATCGATAAAAAATGGAATCAGTTAAAAATCATTTGTAGAAGTAGTAATTATTTTCACTGTCAAAAAAATGTATAGAACTTAATTAAATCATTGTAATTAAATAATTAATATTATATATATTTATATATATAAATAAACATTGATAATAAAATTAAATTGTCATAAAGTTAATGTATTCAACTGGGTCAGTTGAATGGTAAATTATCATGGCAACGACCACTAGAGGGCGCGGAAGGACAGAATCAATGTTTCTGAGCGGGGGTTTAAAAACTATCGAGAAAAAAGACAAATTCCTTATAAAAACAATACGTAAAGAATCAGAGGCTGAAATTATGAATATTATATTATATTTTCGGGGATATAACAGTAATTTTTTACGATATTTATAAGACTAGATACTACAACATAAAGTACGTGTTAGCCCATACCAGTAGGTGGGGGTTTTACACCCCATATGATGTTGCCAAACGCCAAAAGCCCATGAAGAAGAAAGAGGGAAAAAAAACCGGGTTTTCACGATTCCTACTTTTAGTGGCATAATAATATATTTGCATCATGATGATGGATTGCGTTGGTTAAATTGTTAAAGATTTTGTGAACGAGGACGCCAGTGGATTACCAAAAGGTTATACAAATCCTAAAAGCTTACTATTAAGAGTCTAATAGATGATGTTAGCAGTTAAGCTAGGAAAGACCGAATAGCATCATCATGACGGAATCGTTTTGAAGTTTTTGTTTGTTTAACGTGTGTTACTTTTCCTCGACTTTTATCTGGAAATACGTTTTCCCGTTATTATGATAAACTGTTTTCTAATAGATAAAAAATCTATTGTTTTGTTGTCCTGCTACCTTACTAGCTTAAATGTGCTCTTGTTACGATAATGTTATTACGTTGTTTTTCTTGTTAAGTGCAGGGAGCAGTGCGGCCATGGCAGCTGTCCAGTCTGTCCTGCTGTTTGCAGTGTGCGTCCTCATGATAACAGAGCTGATTGTCGCTAAGAAGGACTACTATGATATCCTGGGAGTGTCCAGAGGTGCAACAGAGCGCCAGATAAAGAAGGCTTTCCACAGGCTTGCAATGAAATTCCACCCCGATAAAAACAAGAATCCAGATGCTGAAGTGAGATTCAGAGAGATTGCTGAAGGTAAGCAATTTCTGAAGCGAGACCTACATAAAAAATGTATGATTTAGCGTTTTCCTTTACATCAGGTATGCACAAACAATGCATTTTGTTTTGTTGTCTTTTATTATAACAGGCCATGATGTACAGGCTCATAAAGTTATCACCCTTTTTTATTTTGAAATCACAAAATTGACTCTGTTCTATTTGCGCATATTTTGAAGCTGAATAATAAGGATATGTGATTTAAAATCTTTATACAAAAAAAAAAAAAATTCCTTCACCTAATGCTGAAATTGGGATCTGTTAATTATCTTGTACAACTTCATGGTATTGGTAAAAAAATGGGAGTAATGTTGTGATAAAAACTGGAAATTATGAATCTATTTTAGATTTATTCCTAACAACCTTTGCTATGAATTGCAGAACTAAAAGAAAACTTTCTTTAATAAGATGCTAATGTCTCAAAGTAATTCATGATTTAATTAATAATGCAGAGAAACCACACAGCCTTTTACTTTAGAGCAAAATCATGTCGTACTATATTTTGAGGAAAGCTCAGTGTTTACACCTTGAAGCTTTCTCTCTCTGGTTCTTTTCCGGAGAAGAAAACTCTTTCATGTTTATGTATTAAATAGAACTGAAACAATTAATCAAATTACTCATCATATTGATTTAAAAAAATAATATTCAACTAATTTAGTGATTGATTAATCATTAAGTGGAGTAAAGAGTCTCTAAAATATGCCTTTAGCTGATAGAGCGAATACTTAGAGCAGTAATTATATCAAATTGTAAAAAAAATATATATATATATACAGGTGCTGGTCATAAAATTAGAATATCATGAAAAAGTAGATTGATTTCAGTAATTCCATTTAAAAAGTGAAACTTGTATATTATATTCATACATTACATACAAACTCATATATTTCAGATGTTTATTTTGTTTAATTTTGATGATTACAAATGACAACAAATGAAAATCTCAAATTCATCATATCAGAAAATTAGAATATTGTGAAAAGGTTCAAAATTGATGGCCCCTGGTGCCACACTCTAATCAGCTAATTAACTCAAACCACCTGCAAAAGCCTTTAAATGGTCTTTCAGTCTAGTTCTATAGGCTACACAATCATGGGGAAGACTGCTGACTTGACAGTTGTCCAAAAGACGACCATCGACACCTTGCACAAGGAGGGCAAGACACAAAAGGTCATCGCTAAAGAGGCTGGCTGTTCACAGAGCTCAGTGTCCAAGCACATTAATAGAGAGGCGAAGGGAAGGAAAAGATGTGGTCAAAAAAAGTGTACAAGCAAGAGAGATAACCGCACCCTGGAGAGGATTGTGAAACAAAACCCATTCAAAAATGTGGGGGAGATTCACAAAGAGTGGACTGCAGCTGGAGTGAGTGCTTCAAGAACCACCACACACAGACGTATGAAAGACATGGGTTTCTGCTGTCGCATTCCTTGTGTCAAGCCACTCTTGAACCACAGACAGCGTCAGAAGCGTCTTGCCTGGGCTAAAGAGAAAAAGGACTGGACTGCTGGTGAGTGGTCCAAAGTCATGTTCTCTGATGAAAGTAAATTTTGCATTTCCTTTGGAAATCAAGGTCCCAGAGTCTGGAGGAAAAGAAGAGAGGCACTTCATCCACGTTGCTTGAAGTCCAGTGTAAAGTTTCCACAGTCAGTGATGGTTTGGGGTGCCATGTCATCTGCTGGTGTTGGTCCATTGTGTTTTCTGAGGTCCAGGGTCAACGCAGCCACATACCAGGAAGTTTTAGAGCACTTCATGCTTCCTGCAGCTGACCAACTTTTTGGAGATGCAGATTTCATTTTCCAACAGGACTTGGCACCTGCACACAGTGCCAAAGCTACCAGTACCTGGTTGAAGGACCATGGTATCCCTGTTCTTAATTGGCCAGCAAACTCTCCTGACCTTAACCCCATAGAAAATCTATGGGGTATTGTGAAGAAGAAGATGCAATACACCAGACCCAACAATTCAGAAGAGCTAAAAGCCACTATTAGAGCAACCTGGGCTATCATAACACCTGAGCAGTGCCACAGACTGATCGACTCCATGCCACGCCGCATTGCTGCAGTAATACAGGCCAAAGGAGGCCCAACTAAATACTGAGTGCTGTACATGCTCATACTTTTCATGTTCATACTTTTCAGTTGGCCAACATTTCTATAAATCCTTTGTTTTTATTGGTCTTCAGTAATATTCTAATTTTCTGATATGATGAATTTGAGATTTTCATTTGTCATTTGTAA